AAATAAACTTATTTCCTGCACAAACACAATATGGCAATACAAAAGCAAAGAATGTTATAAACTAATCTGTTTTTAAATGCAGCCAATCATATGAAACACACAACTTTAGCAAGACAGGGTGCATGAAAGGGAAACAGAGCTTACAAAAGACAGTGCACTCTGGAAACTTTCCTAATCCAAGCAGAATATTTTATTCATCTTGCATAATTGTAGGCAAGGACATTCTAAAGGAGGGGTAGGACTTAAAACTGTTGCATGAGTTCTCTTTTTATACTGGCTTCATTTAAATCACTTAAAGGTAACTAACAAAAAAGACTAAAAGTCTGTAGGTAAGAATTTACCCTGAGAAAAAAATCAAATATGAAATAGGCTATATCACAGAGTTGTTACAGTATTATTCATAATAACAGAAACATAAAATAATCAGACATTGATCAGTGGGGAAATGGTTAAGTAAATGATGCGCAAGCATTCTGACGCAGCCATTAAAATATGTTAGTACTTCAGCAACATGTTAAAGTACTCCAAATGTAATACTAAATGGAGAAAAAAAGAGCATACTGTATATACAATATGGTATTTAAAATAATATAAAAATAAGGATTAGAAAAAAGACTAAATGGAAATATATTGAAACAGTGATGTACTTTTATTTTTTCCAATTCTTTTGCAATATACTGTATTAGTAACTAGCCAGCTGCGCCCACCTCCTACCCTGGTTTCTCTCTCTCTCTCTAACACACACACACACACACACACACACCAACCAAGACCTAGTGCAAATATTAGTAGCATTAACATTCTGCACTAGTACTGCACTGAAGAGGTACTATTCTAAACAATTAGTAGTAATACCTAGCACCTATAAAATACAGCATTATACACTTAAGCTAAATGACCAGACTTCTTCAAATTTAAAAATCCAGTTACTTAAAGATATGACTATCTGTTCGTAACATCTAGAAAGGAATATTATCAACAGTTGTAGTAAAATGCTTGTAACAAACATACTTATTTTGATGTTTTTTAATCCAATAAAATAAATAATTTTAACAAGACAAGAGTGACAGGAGAAGATATGACCTTGAGTGGTGGGCACACAGAGCAATATACAGATCTTCTGACATAGAAAACCACACCTGAAACCTGTATGTTCATATTAACCACTGTCGCCCCAATAATAAAAACAAAAAAGAGTGATATAGTATCATACTTCAAAAATATGCCTAACAGCCAGGCCAGTGTGGCTACGTGGTGGAGCATTGACCTATGCACCAGGAGGTCACAGTTCAATTCCAGGTCAGGGCACATGCCTGAGTTGTGGGCTCAATCCCCAGCAGGGGGCATGCAGGAGGCAGCAGATTGATGTTGATGCATTGATGTTTCTCTCTCTCCCTTCCTCCCTCTCTAACATCAATGAAACCATACTTTAAAAAAATTTTAACAAAAAAAAATGCCTAACAATTCCACTAGAAAGTAGAATGAAGTACCGCAGGTTGATCTAGCTTCCTAAAGTAAGCGTGTCACCATGCTCACAGTCTCAGTATTTTATGATAAAACTGTTCCTTTAAAAATAATAAACATTCAAATTTCCTTTGTCCTCCAACATCTGGGAGGCATCACAGTTCATCTAGAAAAACTAAGAGCAGTACAACAGAGCGCTTTCCATGAAAAGTAGTAGAGAATGCAATTGAACCAATTTTGACCTCCAGAATAAGCCAGCCAAAGAAATCAGCTGTCTACTAATATCTACATGTCAGAATTTACTAAATATATCCCGGTTAAACATTTTACAGTTGAAAATACGTTAGGAGAATTTGTATTCTTTGGTAGTTATTTTATGTAGACACAATTTACTTCTAAAAATCTGAACTACAAACTTTAATGATGTTCATGTTTCCTTCACATGGCCAGCTCTTATGTATTTAGCCTTTGAATTTTAACTTTAAGAAACAAGTATTTAACAGAGCAACTGAATTCTCCAAGAACCAGAGAATGTTCACAAACTATTTATGGAAACTCTACTTCCTTTCAAAGGCCTTTTCTTACTTTTAGTACTAAGATGGAATTTTTCGGTCAACTGGCATATCCACCTTATATTTGACTCAACTAAGACGATTAGATGAAACACAGTTGGTGTGCAAAACTAGTTTCCACAATAGACTTAAAAGGCGGTATCTTCAATGTGGAATCAGTCTGTTACAACCTTCTATCACAGCTCTCAATAATTATGACCTAAAATAAAATTTTAAATATCTTTAAAGGCACTCATAACTGTGATCCAAAGACTTTCCAAAGGGAATGTATATTAAATAACTTTAAGTCACATTTCTCTTTAAGTATTTATTAATTTTTAATATTCTGACAGTACTATTAACAGAAAAGTTTCTCAATTATTTACAAAAATATAGTTTTATGAAAATCATATTTAAAGACAAAAGTATATCTGTATTTTGGAGAAGAGAAGGAAGGCTGTATTATCAAAGAGCTGACTAGAATAGTTAGCTGGGAAATTTTTATCTGACATGTGAATTAACTGTATATTTTGTCTACCTTTTCACCATTTATCCCTTTCAACTTAGTATTTATTCATGAGTTTCTAGCTCCTGACAAGATACACCCTAATTTTAAAGGAAATTTAATCCCTTAACCAGCATTATTTCCTCTTGACTGGCTACATTAGTAAACAAAAGCAGTTCTAAATATGGAAAGGCTTGATATGAGAAGATGAGCCTTCGCCTTAGTCTCACTAATTGCTTTTCATGGAGAGCAAACCTGTTTAACAATGTCTCACAACTCTCAAACTGCTTCAAGTAAATCTTCAGAGATTATATTCTGGGATGTTGTCTATTAATGTTCTCTGAAGGAAAATTTTCTTAGGTTTACTGGGAACAAATTCATTAACTTAAGTCCCCAGCCACTTAGCAATAAAATTTAAGGAGATGGGAGATACTTACGAACACATTTGGTGTCAACCAACTACTCTCTCATCCAGGCTCATTCCCCTCTTTAGACCTTACAATCTGGTTTCTACATTTCTGAAACCACACCCTGGGAATCAAATCCTCATCATATTTAAAGACTTTTTTAAAAATTTCATCTTATTTCCCCCTTCTGGAAATGCCTCTGATATTCCCTCCAAAAAGTATAGCTTTCCACAAATCCTATGACTTCTTGGGTAACATTTTTCATTGCTATCTCTCTGCAAAACTCAAGATCTCTTTGGTTAAGAGCAGACTCTGGACTCAAAATGCCTGGGTTCAAATCCTGACTGTACACTTACTCTCTGTGCATGAATGTAGGCAAGTTACTTAACTTCTATGTTCTTAGGTTATCTTATTTGTAAAATGAGGATAATAACAGTGCCTACTTCATAGGGATTATGATGATTAAATACAAGTGTACACACAAGTAAATACAAGTGAAGCATTTATAACAGAGCTTTGCATAAAATAACTAAGTGTTGGCTGTCAGTAGGAGTAGCAGCAGCAGTGCATACATACTACTGCTACCACTTTCATTACTACAACTGCAAAACCTAATCTTTGAGAAATCAGCCTCTCCTACAGACTGAACCATAGGCTTCAACCTTTGGCTCCTGACTCCTGAAAGATCTCCATTTTCTTATTTCCAAATTCCTACAAGTCAATTCCATTTGAAAAGCTCATGATTGGCTCAAATTCAAAGTATTTAATAAGCAAACTCATCATTTCACCCCATTCCTCAATTTCCCCATTTAGATTTTCTGACTTCACAACATTCATTCAGTTTCCTAAGCTGAAAACCTTGGAGTCATCTTGGATCCCTCCTTTTCTTCCACCCCTCTGAGTTTATGATACCAAATTCTGCAGACTGTGCTCTTCCTCCTTCCCAGATCCATAATCCTAGTCGAGGCGGCCACAGCACTAAGTCCCTCAAACCTGACTTCCACCTTTGTGTCTAAGTTTGACTTCCCCTTCATTTCTTTTCTCCGTAAACCACAAGCTTCCATACGTTACACTTTCCTACTCCACTACAAGTTTCCTTTTGCCTTGTACACCAGATCTAAACTCAGCTACTCACCCTTTAAGATTTTAACAGTCAGTTCCTTCACAATGCAACTTCATTCCCCTCTTCAGCAAGAATGGTTTTCGGTTGATTCATACACCCACTATGGTCACTATGCCTGTTTATAGTCTTGTAGCATCTGAAATGTGTGCTACCCCATCTCTTTGTTTGGGCCCATTCTATTCATTTGAGGCTCAACTCAAATACACACNATGCCTGTTTATAGTCTTGTAGCATCTGAAATGTGTGCTACCCCATCTCTGTTTGGGCCCATTCTATTCATTTGAGGCTCAACTCAAATACACACCCTCACTAACCTGAAGGCACCAGTTCATTCTGCCATCTCTACTTTCTAACACCTCTCCTTTCTTTCGTAGCACTACTCAGCATTGTAGCTGTCGACTACTATGCTGGTCTCTATACTTTACAGCCTAGCATTTATTATGTCAAAACATAAAGCTATTGTGTGTAACACTGAATTATTTATTATTCTTTTAAAAGCAGACTATGTCTTATACTTTGTTTGCCCTAAAGCATCTATAAGGTAGCAGTTATTTAATATGTACTATGTTGTGCCTATTTGGGAAGTTCCAAAATTATAAACCTGAATTTTGATGCTCTAAGGCAGTGGTCAGCAAACACTTCCTATGAAGAGCCAGATAGTAAATATTTTAGGCTTTGCAGACCACGTGTGGTCTCTGAAACATACATATTCTTCTTTTGTCTAACTACTTGAAAATGTAAAAATCATTACTAGCTGAGAGCCCTACATAAATAGGCCATAGTTTACCACCCCTAGCCTCCTCTAAGGAACAATTCAGTGTCTTACACAGTCTCCACAGTTAAGCATGTCTATCAATATTTAACTAATATTTCTAAATGCTGGTTGGTCAAGTTGCGCTTTACATGACTTTTGACCTCTAACATAAAATAAGTAGCCCCTGCGTTCTTACCAGCTCTTTCAGACTTTTCTTTCTGTTCCAGTAATTCCTCTCCCTGGGTAGTCATCTGTTTGATGCGACTACGAAGTTGAGCAATTTCCTCTTCTTTCATCTCTAGAGTTTCATGCATCTGCCGTTTTGTCTCTGCTATTACCATTCCCTAAACAGAAGCACAGACTCTAAAGCGTTTGCATAACAAAACTGCGTCATAAATAGCACGCATCAAACTTACTTTAAGAGGCAGAAACAAAGTATTTCTTACTAATACAGCATAAATTTTTTCACAAACTGAAATCTGTGTTTTTCACCATATACTACCCTACCTATTATAATAACCTTGGTTACCTGACTTATCAGGGTATTTTTGATATATAAATTATTTTCATAGTAAGTTTAATCTTTTAAGTATTAAAAACATATTTTAGTTTAAAAACTTATTTTATAATCTTACTACGAATGTTTGCTATAATTTTTCCTATCTTAGTAAACAGTTTATAATGAACAAAATACAGCTTTTTCTATGTAGCTCAGAGCCATCATGAACTGTAATTGTGAACCTGTGCTGTAACATAGAGAAAGACTCAGAGGCTGCTGAGAGTGTAAGGTTACTGCTGCCACACTGAGTGGTCCAAGACCATGGTACAGATCCTCCTGGTTTTTCTCTTTCCACTTTTGACAGTCTGTGGTCCCACAACTAATCCTTATTACGTCAGTGAGGTACCTCCATTCCTCCAATTTGCTAATTGCAACTGTCTTCCCACTCTCAGATAACCTACACAAGAAATGAAAGTCACTAAGTCAGTCATTCGTGACTAACAAAAAATGAGGTGCTTCAACTTGTCTTTGAAAAATAAGATTTTATGACAATTATTTTATGGTCTTAAAAAGATTATTACCTTACTTTCAGGGTTTGTAAACCCGTTTTAGGGTATGACTCTTCCAGATGGCTAATATTAAGTGGACAGATTAAAACAAGGTAAGTGGGGTATTACTATATAAAATTTCAAAACAAAAGCATGGCCTTCAGTTTCTTCAAAAACCAAATCGCAACAGAGACAGGACAGAGAGAAAGAGGGCAGTGAAACCTATAGATTAAAGGAAGTTTTAAGTCATACCAATCACTTGCAATGAAAGAATCTTACTTGAATCCTGATTCATAAAAATGGAAAAATAATTTATGAGACAAAGGGGAAATCCGAAGCTAATTAGACAGTTGATTGTATTAAGAAATTATTAAATTTTTTGACGTGATCATAATTATGTGGTTATATTTTTATAAAAAATAGAGTCCTTTATTTTAAAGATACATTAAAATACTTACTGAAGAAATGATAAGATTTCTTGGATTTGTTCTAAAGAGCTGAGGATGACGAGGGGTTAGGAATGTACAAATGAAATAAGATTAGCCATGACATGTTAACTGCTGAAGCTGGGTGATGAGTTTATAGGAATTCATATCATTAATCTTTCTACTTTTGTAAATGTTTTAAGTTTCTCATAATAAAAAGGCTTTTTTAAAGTGGGCCTTCATGCATTTCATAGAATAGAATCTAGCAAAATGATATTGTAGAATGAAAAGACTGCCAGTACATTTCAATAGAACAGCTCTGACATGTTCTTTATTACATGGCTACTATAGCTATAAAGTAGCATATTAAAGAAAATGGTGGATGGTATGTAACCGACTGGAAGCTGCTTTTTAAAAAGGGCCCAAGAACTTAGGATTGAAAGAGTTTAGGTCAAAACTATTTGCCCATGAACTTTTCAGTTGTCTTTGCTGCCATAGCTACAGCTGCAGCTCCAAACCTAAACTACCAATCTCATTCTGTTTATGAGAATTATACATTACCCACTTTTTTTTTTAGGCAATTTATCTCAAGATCATTCTATTTCCATTACTTGAAAGACAATATTTTTATCATTCACATGTAGCAATGCTTTAACTCTAAATAACTTCTCTAAAACATGTTATGTACTATAAACAGATTCCTTTGCAACAATTATTCTAATCTATAAATCAAAATACTGACTGGGCTCCAGAAATCAGAGAATCAGCTTCCCATAATACAAAACTAATACTAACAGTTATATAAATCTAAAAATTAAAACAAAAAGATTTTTCATGGAAGCAGCTACAATAATTTTGGAAAGCAGAGGTCTGATTGCTTCCAAAAGTGAATTTTGGGGCCCCCTGCCAAATTTTAGTATCATAAGTATTGTTTTACCTTATCTTGTTCAAGCTGTTCAATTAAGTCCTTTGCATCACGTAACTGAGTGATAAGTTTAGTCTTCTCAGCCATATGAAGCTCCTAAAAATTTTAAAAATTTTAAAAATTCATTTCCATCTCTAATAAAGCTGCTCCTCATTGAGAACTCTAAACATTTTATCTAATTTGGATACTTCTCATATCTAGAAGAAAAGTACACAGGATGTCTGAAAAGTATGGTAACTGCTTTGAAGCCCAAGGCACTTGGGTGCCCTCTCCATGCTGTCTATGGAGGAAGGGAGAAGGCTTTGCAGAGAAGGTGCAGGCCACGCTGGGGCCTGTGCATCTAGCTTTATGGGGCTACCTTAAGCAAAACTCATTTGCTCTTTTACCTTCATCTTTTCTAGCTCTTGAAGTCTTTCATCTAGTTGCTCCTGCAGTGCTTCTTTTTCACTGGTTAATAGTGTACACTGTTCCTTACGTGACTGAATTGTTTCCTTACAACGCTGCAGTAGGTTCTCTTGACGCTTAACTCTTTGCTGAAGCATTTCCAGTGTGTCAGCAGAAGCTCCATCTCCAACTATTAACAACAAAGCAGCACAAGCAGGGGCAGTCAGTAAGGAACATGAGGGATCCCTGGGAATAGTTAATTCTGTTAGTGCACAGGACTGTATTCTTATCGCAACACTGCTATACTCAGCTAGATCAACAAGAGAGGGGCACCCTTCCTGTGTCTTAGCTCCCACCCCAAAAGAATTACTAAAATATTCCTTCCAATGTAGTCTAATCTCGTCCTGAAAAGAGTTCTGGTAAGTACACCTTTCTCCATCTCCTTACATTTATTAGTGAAGTTTTCTCACTTCAGGGGGATTTCAGGGCCCCTTATGGGTTGGTTACTCAGATAGGCAGCTGCTTAGCACCTTACTCTGGCTCTGACTAGACCGAAAGTTTATCATAAATCTCTTGGAGACAAAGAACTGGTAAATAAAAAGTGGAAATTTCACTGAAGATGTACCTCAAAGCCTCAAAGAGTAGGGAGGACTATAAATGGATTTTAAGAAAAGATTTAACTATTCTTTTCCAGTTAGGTAGCAAATAAGAGGGCGAATACAGATATCTTCGAATGCAGAAATATGTAAGTAATATTACTTAAAAACTTATAAACAATTGCAAATGGCATATTCATTAATCTCGAGTAGATAGAACTATCCTGTTATATGAAAACTACTGCTATCAAGAAAACTGTATAAGATAATAAACTGACTTCAATTACAATGAAAGTGTGGTGCTACCACTCCCAGACTGTCAAGTTTTAAAACAATTACTTACTTTCTCCTGAACAACAACAAAGAACAAAAAAATAACAAAAACTCTCATCTTTCTGGAAATGTTAGGATCAGGATACTTTACTTCTATCCCAGCCCATGTCTACTAGTTCATACCTTAGAATCTCTCGACATCTTCCTCTAATTCTTAAATTAACATTTTGACAAGATGAAACTTACCTACTGCCCCTACATCACTCTCTGTGTTTTTTTCTTCAGTGACGCCTTCAGCCTGTGGTTCCATCAGAGGGAATGGTTTTGTCAAACCAATGTGCATCGGGCCATTTCGTAACCGTTGTTTCAGCAGAGAAACCTTAAAAAATGTGCTTTATTTAAAAAAAATTATTCAAAAGAAAACATGGCAGTAGTACTTTCCTTAAAATAGACAGGATAGAGCAAATGATATCCTTTTTGCTATATTGAGGGGGAAAATTAAAATAAAAAGTTTACTCCCAATGCAGTTTATTTCTGTATTTGTTATTTTCAATTGCATCATAGTTAGCCGAAAGACAGTAAGTCAATAATTATCCTTAAAATTAATTGAGGAAAAGCAGAGTTTTAAAAATATACACCATTTTTTAAAACTTCTAGAACCTATTACATATCTCATCAAAATCCCTTTATTTTGCTTTATCCAAAAATTCCACACTTTTAATCTTTTACCTGAGTCTGGAGAACACTGATGTACTGATCTTTTTCCTCTAAAGATGCATCAAACTCTTCTTGGAGATGTTTCTTTGCTTGCTGGTCCATCTGGAGCTCCTAACACATAAAGGATTTTAGAGGTAGTTTTCAGCATAAAACAAAAAAATAAAGAATTGAAGTTTTCAAAATTTAAAAACATAATCAATCCAGATTTGCATTCTTAAGGCATCCGCAACAATAACTAAAAGACAATCAACACGTAAAATGTTAGTATTTACACCAGCATATAATCTTGATCCTTAAAGAATATAAAGATCCTTGAAGAATATTTTATAGCTGTAATGACTGCTGAACTGAGAATAAAAAAATTACTTAAGATAAAAATAAAACTTATCCTACTTTAAGACATCTAACTACTTGTTCTACTTGACATTCACTTGATCTAAAATTGAATTGTTATATACCAAACAGACAGCCAACAGAGACTTCCTCCTCTCAATATATGAAACAGTTCGATAGCCAAAATCAGAAGCTTCCTCATCTGTAAAATAAAAGGTTCAACTAGCTCATCACCAAACAGTAAAATTTCAAGTTCCTGAAATTACTATTCAAAAAGCTGCTTTCTTTAGGTCATTAATGAGCTTTCCTAACTAACTCCAATGGTCTTTACCTCTATGCTACACAGCAGTCACCAATAATGATCTCCTCAGTGTACCTGCTTTCCAGGGCTTCAGGGCTCCTGTCTAAATTCCTGTCTCTTACAGTTTCCCTCCGCCCTACTCTGATTCCATCGGCTCTCTTCCTCTGGGCTCAGTCCTGTGTCTTTAGTACTTCTGCCTTACACTTATTCCATTGGCATGCTAAAGACTAACTACTAGAACATTTTAGACTTAAAGTTTTCAAAATTTAAAAACATAATCAATCTAGATTTGCATTTAAAGCACCTCTATTTTTCTGGGATTCCTACTTTTCTTACCTCAAGTCTTCCTCTGACTTGATCCATCCCTTACACATTTGCTAGAAAATTTTCCTCAAATGATATTTTCAAGGGCTTATAAGCAGCACCCTCTTCTTACATTGTTTCAAACTTACTAATTCTCAAAACATTGAGGCACTAACTGTCCTCTAATCCCCAACACACCCACACTGCCCAAGATCTCTAAGCACATTATTTACTGTTTTGTTTTTTTTCACTAGAAACTCCTGGCTTGACTTCCCCTCACAGCAGTAGTCTTCCAATGCTGGTCTTCTGATTAGAACATGTCCAGAATGAAGTTTTCATAGGTCCATGTGAAATATGAAACAGAGGTCAATGTAGGGTTTTTTTCTTAAATCCAAATCTTTCATTTAAACAGCTATACTATATTCTGAGAATATGTCCTTCCTAATTATTTGCTATTAAAAAAAAACACCTTTCTTTTATGAAATAATGACAGCAGAACAACCTGGTTCCTTATTCTTGATGTCCACACTTGAAAAAATAAAAGCAGCCCTATGACAATTCTCCTGTCTCCCATTTCTGGAAGGAACTGGAGATAATTTTCCAGTCCATGAAATCCACAAATCTGGAAAGTACTGTCTTCCACTACTTTGCATAGGCCAATTCTTTAGTCTGGAGTCTCTACAGATCTCCTCAACAGCAATGCAGTCCTTTACTTTCTTTAAAATTCATTTCTTCTAAATACTGTTCTATATCCTACCATACTAGATTGTTACACGGCATCCCTAACAGCCCATAAAAATGCCTCAATTTATACTACAGTTTTCAGGTTTTGAATGTTGTTGTTTTTTAAACATTCTAACAACTTGACTAAACCCTTTAAAAAAAAAAAAAGGTGCCAAGTACTGATTGTAAAGTCCAATCTTAAAACCCAGTATCTTAGTAGGGGGGGAAATCTGCATGTTAGCCACTTAAAGATGAAAAAATACATTCAAGATATACTATCATCTGACAGTCTATATATCATCCTCAATTACCCCACCTATTTTGTTAAGACTAAGCCTACAGAAGAAAAGTAAGTCTTTCAGAAATCTAAATAAACTGTATTTCCAGTTTAAGTTTAAATCAGCAATGATTTTCAAAATATTTTCAACTTAGTTTATCTGCCATGAATAGTCAATAAAGCTCCCTTGAGTTAACTGCTTAAACTAACCTGTTCAAGTCACAAGAATAAGATACTGAAGTGTAATGTAAACTTTTAAACAAAATAATAAATGGCTCTATAATACTACTAAATATGACAACTAATTCAATAACTCTACTACTGCTGACCATTTAGATGGTTTCCAAACTTTCGCATACTCTGGGATTAACATTTTTAGGCATAAGTTTTGCAAGGTCTTCCTGACTACCTCCTTACAGAGAAATTCCGATGAGTGTAATGTATCAAATACCTTTAACTGTTTCACTATTTTTTATCTCAGTCTTATGTTGCCCATTATGTTCCAAGGCAATTTCAAGCTACAAAAAAATGAACTCTCCCTCCCTGAAGTCAGCTTTGAGAACAGCGACTGCTTATAACAAATTCCATCTGGATGAGCCTAGAAAAAGTACATGCCATACACATAGAGGAAGACAGAAAAAGGAGGGAACATCTAAGACATCATCTTCATTTATTCCCCATTTAACCGGCCCTAAAATGGAATCAAAGAACCCCATCTACTTAGATGAGCTCATTATTTGCACAGCATAATTATCACTTCCTGCAGGCATGATATTTCTCTTTAATATCTGTGTTATAAGATTTAAAATCAAGCAAAGAAAGTTATAGAATTTAATCCCTAAGAAACCAAACATTTATGATTTATATCACTCCAAATGTTTAATTAAGTTGTAATCGTGATTTTATGGGTTATATTATCTTGTTGAAGGAAATTTTTCTCTTCATGGAACAAAATTAAAAGTATCTAAAACTCTCACTTACCTACTTTGTATTTACACATAAATTACTGGGTACATTTTTCTTTATGTAACTGGAAGCAGGGTTACAGTTCAGAAATATATCTTAGCTACTACAAAAATAGTTTAGATATGTACCAAGGAAGAATTTACTATATGTGCTCTAGAATCCCTCTTCTCCTTTCTCTTATTAGCTTGACACCTTGATTTTAGTCCAGTGAGACTTGTGTCAAACTTAAATATAATACATTTATGTTGTCTTAAGCCATTAAGTTGTGATAATTTGCTATAGGAGCAACAGAAAACAAATACAGGGAGGCAGATAATTAAAAAGTACTAAAACTCAACCTGTGGCTCGATCAGTACTTCCTAGGAAAGGAAGATAAAGTTACTGAATAAAGCTGTGATTTATACTACCCTATATCCTTTAGTTCTACATTACCTTCCCTCTGCATGTCCCCTCCACCCCTCACCAAACCCCAGAAAGAGGAGGGAAAGCTGCAAATCTCATTGGCAGCATCCAGGTTATTCAAAGAGGGCCACCTTCTCTGAAGGGTCAGCACATCTACTTCTTCCCACAGACCCTGGCAGGGGTTTATGCCTTTTAGTCAAGTCTCTCTCATCATTTTCTAAGTTTCTCAACAAAAGCAACCAAGTAGATAAGCCTAGATAAGCCTGCTGGAAAAGCAGGCCCTTTCTCTTTTCCCACTGACAGGCCTAAGAATACTGGTTCTATAATCTAAATTAGAGAAAGAACAAATAGGAGGCCTGTACTTGCTAAGAGCCAGCAATGAGGAATATCGAATGGGTACTTATCCATCTATTTTATTAATATAATAGAAGTTTGTGGCCCACTCAGTATTTGTTTGAGAACAGCTCCCTCAGTCAGGGACCCCTAGTGGAGGACTGAGCAGCAGGAGAAAAAAAAATCAGGTATTCCTCTGTCTCCAGCTGGGACCTAAGACTATTATAAACACCTTCAAAACCTGATGCCTAACACCTAATGTACACTCCAAGAATTTCAATATGCCTGTTCTGGGGGCATGTGTGCAGAGGTTGGGGGAAGTAAGAGAATAACACAGGGCATCTTCTTTTTTTTGGTAAACATTAAATATACCACAGGGGTTAACAGGAAAAGAATATATATGTAATGGCTTATGATCTAACAGTATAGATATGGAAAAAGATTTTTTAAATGATGGAAGAATGGAAATAGCATATAAAAATATATTTAACTAATTTCAATAATCATAATTGATGGCGGTAGTATTAGTATTACTATTCCAAGACTGTTAGTTTATAATAATGTTAGGAGAAGGAAAATGAGTAATTTTGGATGTTCTAATCTGTCAGCAGATTCTTCAACAGACAAACAATAAAGAAAACAAAGGGATGCAGGAATGTGTAGATTTAAAAAGACTTAATAGATATATCAAAACTATTATTATTTTTTTAAATATATCTTTATTGATGTCAGAGAGAGGAAAGGCAAGGGAGAGAGAGAGAGAGAAACATCAATGATGAGAGAGTCATTGATCGAGCCCGCAACCCGGGCATGTGCCCTGACCGGGAATTGAACCCCGATCACCTGGATTCTAGGTGGAAGCTCAACCGCTGAGCCACGCCCGGCCGGGCTCAAAACTATTTTTACATGGACAAGACTGCAGTGTCTGGAAGGCACACTCAGGTAATAAAACAAAGAGACACTAGGTGGTACAATAAAAGTCAGGAGAGTAGTTAATTTTGGAGAAAGGGAGGAAACTGATTAGGTTGGGAAACAAAAGGGGGCTTTTGGGGTGACTGGCAATGTTCTATTTCTTGACCTTGGTGGTGATTACAATAGTGTTCACTATACACATGTAAGCTATATATTTTTGGGCATGACTTTCTGTATCTGTTTTATTTTATAATTAAAGGATTTAAAAATGTTCACTACAAGTGATGTGGCAGAGATGCGGAACGCTGTCCTCCAGCCAGCATAAGCCAATTTTCTCCATCCTTCTCAAGGTGGGGCAGAAGCAAAGATCAGTAGAGTGCTATTTCAAATAATAAATATTTGCCTGAATTCTAATACTTCACTGTAAAAATTATCCTCCAAAATTACAATGAACAAAATTTTTATTTTATTTTACCAAAAAGATTGTTGGTTAGAAAAAACAAAAAGACGCCTGAAATACCTCATAGAAGGGACAGTTTAGCCTTGGAAGTTGCCACTGACTATTCATGCAGGCAAATGATATTTTATTGCTAAGTAAGACATTCCTATTTTACTAATTCCACCAACAATATATATCTGCGGAAAACCACACAAATAAAAACTATAAGAATTGATCCCTGGTCTTGTAGGCTGGGCTGGTTAGTTATTGCTATAACTATTGAAGTACATGAGAGCCTATCCCAGCACGAACAACAGTTCTGATAAAAATAAGAGATTTAATTATTATTCTCAAAGTATGAATCACTACAACTTACCTCTCTTAATTCTGCAATTCTCCGAAGTGCTTTATCCTGGCTCTGACTTAATATACCCTTTAATTAAAAATTAAAAATAAAGTTGGGTCAAACAACTGCATGACATAGTAATACAAAGCCAGTCAAAAAGAATTATTTTTACAATATTACAACTGTTTTTCCAAAAATAACCTGAGGATGGAGAACAGGACTGAAAATCTTAAGGATATAACCATGATGAAAGTCTGCTAAAAGTTAAATCATGATGTTACAGAACTGTCCTGCATCCTAGCTGTGGGAGAGGTGACACAAATCACATGTAAACCATAAAAGTCAATTCTCCTGTATATTAATTTTAAAAATAAAAATTTTAAGTTATATCAAATTCCAAATGCAATTTATTTCATTGTACTCTATAAGTGTGGGACAAGTCAATCATCAGCCTGTTCACAAGGTTGTTTTTGTGACTTAAAAACAAAAGTCCTTTTCTATATTTTAAAAAAAAAAAAGCCCAGGAGAAAACTGCAAAGAGAACTATAGATTGCTAAATTAGTAATCATATATAAAAATCAGGAAGCTAAAAGAGTAATACTGAAAGAGTGAAAGGTAAAATTATTCATCCTTTCCTGCAAGAGGGGGAAGAGGGGGGGACACATGGACAGACAGGGGACAGAAGATGGGTGCTTTTCACTAGTGAGGAAATTAAATCTGAAAAGTTATGGTCTATGGACACAAAGTAACTGTATATTATTGTACAATATAAATGCAGAGGTAAATAAATGGGGTAATCTGGAGCTTCACTGGTCTGTGTAAACTAACAACAAAAAAGAGAGATATGGGTAGCAAATGGTTTGTTTATGGCCCAGGGGAGTGTGACTGGGCTGTATCTGCAGGCCCTTGTAAGTGAATAAAAAAAAAACAAAGGCTTTTTCCCCAAAAGCCATGAACACAGGTTTTACTTGGTATAATATACAAATTTTGAATGCAGGAAGATGCATTGCTGAGAACGATGAAAAACTGCAATGCATTATTTACAAGCACATGAGCTGCAGTCTAACTGCCATGAAGGGATCCCAGCTCTCCTCCACCTCTTACAAGCTGTGCAACAATAAATAAGGCTCTCTTCCTCTATTCCTTCACAGGAGAGGTTTAAGGACTAAATACACCATAATGCCTGACACCCAATAAGAGCTGAGCATCTGTTAGGTAGTATGAACAGCACTGATAACAGCACTTACAATTTTAATTTCACTGGATCTACTGAAAGCATGTTTGTCTATTTAATAAAGAGGTTTCTAGGCATGCCAATATGGGCATGTACAGAGATAAAGAAAAAAGCAAAAATCACTGAATTTTATCTCTAACACCCTTTATATCTGGGACTATGCAACCACTATTCTCTACCGCCACTTAGTGGTAGAAATACATACACCTAGAAATAAAAATCCATAGACAATTCATAGAAACACAAGCAAGGTACCCACAGAATTTAGGAATAAGATGACCTTTTGAGAATAAATTTATGTATATTAATAATACAGTAAATTAAATTAGAACCACTCCACCCACTTCAATATAACTCATGTTTAAGAAAATATTTTTAAAAACTCTATTTGTAATAATCTAACTCACACATTTGTTATAGACAATTAGAACACTGAATCAGCAGTAAATAACTAATGCTGCCATTCTGATTATATTCCATACCAAAACCAGAAAATTTAATGTTGTACTTAATGGAGATTAATATTTATGGCAGATTAAATATTTTAAAATAATGTACATAGATAAATTAATTTTACCAAAACTCATTTTGCAAATAACTCTTGGTTATGTAACTAACTTTTGGTTAGTGTCTTTAAATGGCACAAAATTCTAAACTGTTTTAAATAACTTCTGTAAAAAAAAAGACTGTATTTGCCTGGCTGGCGTGGCTCAGAGGTTGAGCATCGATCTATGATCCAGGAGAAGCTGGTTCGATTCTCAGTCAGGACACATGCCTGGGTTGTGGGCTCCATTCTCCATAGGGGACGTGCAGGAGGCAGCTGTTTCTATCTCTCTCTCTCCTTCTCCTTTCCCCTCTCTGATATCAATACAGACATACTTAAAAATAAATAAATAAGACTATATTTTATAAATAACATAGCAAAATGATAGCACTGTTTAAAGTGGACTGGATATTTCCCTTTAGATCTGACATGTGATACCTGGTGGAAAATTTCTGACCATGAACAGAATGACATAGTAGGGACAGGGTGGGTCACCCAGAAGAGCTAAAATAGCTTCCTCTTTCCACATGTAACCAAGAGCTTTCCAAGCAGCAGCCTCAGGAAATGGAAGAGAGGATGCTTGGGTTCAGACCCTGATACAATGATAAGAAACAGGTATGTCTGCAGATATTTAAAAAAACAGAAGGGAAAGCTATGAAGGCTGTATGTCTCTTTACCACTAAAACAAAGATGTAACCTGTAGCCCTGGCCAGTGTGGCTCAGTTGGTTGAGTGTCATCCCATTCACTGACAGGTTACTGGTTTGATTCCCGGTCAGGACACATGCCTGGGTTTCAGGCTTGATCCCCAGTGGGGGCATGCAGGAAGCAACTGATCCATGTTCCTCTCTCTTTGCTGCTTCTCTGTCTCTCTCTCTCTCCCCCCTTTTCNGGACACATGCCTGGGTTTCAGGCTTGATCCCCAGTGGGGGCATGCAGGAAGCAACTGATCCATGTTCCTCTCTCTTTGCTGCTTCTCTCTCTCTCCCCCCTTTTTNTCCCCCCTTTTCCTCTCTCTCTAAAATAAAAAAAACATATTTTTTAAAAAAAGATGCAACCTGCCGACTGAGATACTAGGAAACGCCTGAAAGAGGCAAACATGCCTTAAAGCAAAACCAGTTTTGCAGGGATCCAAAACGGAAGGAAGCCCATTCTTACTATGTAAAATCTCTGGGATCCCTCACTCTTTCTCTTTATCACACCCCAGTAATGGTAAAGCACGTTAAATACTTCAATCATATGGAGAATTATTACAAGTGAGAATAAAACTATAAGCTCCTTTCTAATTTTAAAATTATGTATGAATCAATATCACAGCCAACAAATCACTTACTTGTAGCTTTTTCTTCTCTTTTTGAAGAATCTGATAAGCTGTTACAAGCTAAAATAAAGAAAAAGTCATCAATAACATTCATTCCTAAATCAATGCAATTAATTATTCTAAACTCCACTAAAACATCTTGTTATGAAAGTCAAAAAATAAATCATAAGAATCCTTTTATATAAGACAATTCAACCTAGTTAGAGGCATATATGGCCAAACTAAATAACATAGGAAATATATTTCTAAAAAATAAAAAGAACTCAACTCTATAAAGATATTAAATCTCCTTTTGACTTCACCTTAGACATGTGCTTCTTTAAATTTCAGTACCTAATTCATAGGTAGGAATTAGGGTCAACTCGCCTAAAGGCAGAAGACAGCTCAAAGGGTATTCATAGACCAGTACCATCAGCAACAGCATCACCTGGGAGCTTGCTGGAAACAGAAATTTTTGGGCCCCACCCCAAACTAAATGAATGAGAATTGGGGTAAGAAGAGAGGTAGACATAGGAATGTGTGTTTTAACAAGCTCCAGGTGGTTTTTTGCCTGACCGTGTAACTGATCTAAAAGTTCCTTCTTGTTACAGGATCTGTGACTATGGCTGTATAAAAATCTGAGGAAAAGAATTCAACCAACAGATGAAAACTGGTGTCCTAAAGAAATGTTTAACCACTTAAGCTAACTAGGCTACTTAAACATTCTAGCACAACTTGATGAAATTATGAATTAACAAATCTTTTAAACCCATAAATTATGTAGTATTACTCATCTGAAGGCTAAAGCACATGGCTCCAATTCATTATTCAGACCTTGCTTTAGAAGTGCTCGTGGCCTCTGAAGAGAGAGGTTGCAGCTCTGCAGCTTCAGGAGGAAGCACTCCCCTATTCTGAGCCTTGCCATTTTCCTTGGAAGGCTGCTCTGTGCCCCTAAATGCCTCTACTGAATTCTTGAGAGAAGAGGCTGGTAGCAATGAAAGGTGCATCAGCAATAGAGATAAGAATACAAAAAAACACACATCAAAACTCTGCCTAAGACCAGGACCCTCCCTGTCTTATTACCTTAAGACCAGATAGGCGAGGAAAGGTAAAGACAAAGTCTATGGGCTCTTTTCCCTAATGAGCTGCATAATTCTACCTGAGGTAGTACAGAATAGTAGAAACAACCAGGAAGGTACAGAATCAAAAGATTCTGTCACCTGCTACCTATGTGACCTTAAGCAAGTTACTTAATCTCTATGATTATGTTTCTAACCCCTATCCTACAAAAGAGTTTAATTGATATCTACTTCACAGAGATGATGCAAAATTAAATGGCACCATAAATATAAAATGCACAGTGTCTTACATACTTGAATGCTAATTATACTGTTGCCCCAGCTTCAAACCTAAAAGCCATGAATAAGCTAGTGAAAATAACATAAATCTCAACAAACAAAAATGAAGACCATTATTAACTTTGATAGAAAAAATAAAAATAAAAATAAATTTTAAAGGAAAAAGTTGCCTGATTCCACAAGTGCCTCCTGAGATACATGGCTTTAACGCCCTGTTTACATCTCTGAGTTCCAGCCAGCCAATAGCTTTCAGACTAACAATTCCTTCCTAGTTTGCCAGTATTCTATAGTTTTAAAGAAATACTTCACGTATTTCATTTAGGGTTTTTTGTTCTTTTGGCTGTAGGGTAAAACTGCCCATATTATAGCTATACTGGAAATAGAAGTTATAGCTAACTGTACATATTAACCTTGAGCTTCATTATTCATTATTTAAAATTCACTACAATGCTGATTTACAAACTGTTAAGACAATAAACTGTTAGGCACTGTAAAAAATATATTAAGTCATGGGCAACTTGCTCCAGAAAGGTTTTCCTTAGGAAGGATTGCTTCAACTGCACAGGATGGGGAGGACAACTAATACAATTCAGCCTGAAGGGAAGGTGCTGTGTTCCTGAAGGAAAGACAGATGGAGCAGCACGACTTCCTCTCTCAGACCAACAGTGTCATCCTCAAGGGGATTAAAAGTTAAAAGATTCATTTGAGGCAAAGTTCAAATGTAGGTACTATAAGAGTGAACCACATGTGTCAGAAAATCAGGATACTTAAAACATAATTGGGGTCCAGAATAATGAAACTCTGGTTGGCAGAAGAGGTCATGTTGGAGCCACAGCACTCAGAGGATGATCAGGGAGAGGATGTGAGGAGGGAAGATGGTGACCTCTGCCCTGGGTGTCCAAGCAGAAGGGCACAGAATATGAGAACCAGGAGGCTATGGACGAAAATCTCCAAAACGTTACTAAGAGTCTTGCCACGAAGCCTCTGTACTGCTGAGAGTCTTTAACTAGATACTGCTACAGGTTATCCATCATTTGTAACCAGCATATCTAAGGAATCGAGAGTTCAGCCAACCCAGGAGTAAAAGCCACACAGTAATATGAATTAGCGAACAAAGGGAAGAAATTTTCCTTTCGGCAGAAAAGTCATGCTCCTACCTCAGAACACTTTCCTTTGTAGCTATTCAACCGCCGTTCCATTCTTCGCAGCCCCAGAACCAACTGCTCTTTGTTGAGGCCATCTAAATTCCCCAGTGAGTCTTCAGCCTCACTCTCCATATCAGAGGGTGGATCAAGGGTGGCAGCAGAAAAGTCCAGGTCAAGTCGATTCAGGGATTCTCTGGAAGATGTTCGTACCAAACACTCTTTAGAAGAAGATCGGAATAGAGATTCCTTTATTGGGCTTCGAAACAAAGACTCCATGGAAGGCACCCGGAGCTGGAGTTTCTGTGCGAAAGTCTGTGTGTCACCTGACTGTAACCAAAATCCAACAGAATATGTGGGTTAAAATACACATTTAGACTTCTAATGTTCCCTATCACCAGCAATAACCTATTAAAAGCTCTAACATAATCAGTAATATTCCTGACATTTAACATAATATATTGTTTTCTGAAAAATAAGAGACACCTGGTTATTTCTGAAAAAGTGCTGGACTTGGAATCAGAGGATTGGGGTGGAGGTCCCAGGTCCATCACCGAGCAGTGGAATGACCTTCACACTAAGTCACCTCCTTTCAGTTCACAAACTGAAGGAAGCCATACTTTTCCCGCTGCCCTCACAGGTGTGCTGTGAGGATTCGTCCACTAAACTGTAAGATCCTTGGAGGCAGTATCCCCCAGTATATACCCAGTGCCTAAAACTCGGGTATGTACTGTGAAGTGTGAAGCTGTGGCTGAAATCAATTGGACTTTATCTGGAGTCTTTATGGAGGCACCAACTCCTGATCACTCTTCTCAACCAAAGAAGGGAATGGGGGCAGGGGGACCATAATTATATATAGTGAGCCCATTTTGTTTCTAACAGAATGACAGGCAGAACGGACCAGTGACAACCAACTATGTTCTTTTTACCTTGTCTACTGGGAATAGAAATAAGCATTAAAAAATCATGAAGGACAGGTGAAAAGTGTGAGCTAGAGTCCCTCTGCCCAGATCAGTAAGTCTGATGTTGGAAGCAGTGATAAGCAAGAGCTGTTCTCTTAATTAATTTAAATAATAACACATTAACAATGAAAAGCAATATAACCATTCAAAAAACCATTCTGAGCTACATTATTCTGTTCAGGTGACTATTTTTCAAATGCATTTTCTTTCTTTTTAACTACAGTGGCATTCAATATTATTTTATATTAGTTTCAGGTGAGCAGTCAATATTTAACAAGCGTTTCCTAGAAACTCATTCTCATCAGTGCATGTAGCAAGGTCCCCTACAAGATCTCAACAATGCCAGGAATGAAATGCTCAGGGGGGACTGAGGTCATGTGTAGGCAAAGATTACAGGAAAACAAAAAGACTCTCTTTGATTTTCATGATTTGAAAATACTTTACTCATGAATTTTAGAGGTTAATAATAGTATTCAGCAAGGTGGGAGTAAGACGGATAACCTGCCTCACTCTCTTTCTATGCACAGATTTCTCTCAGGTTGTTTAAAACAGTAAAGACTGGAAACAACCCAAATGTTCACCATTTGACAATACATTCCATAAACTGCAATGTATGGAAGGAGACACGCTATTAAATGGAAAAAAACAGGTTACTGTGAATCCATTCTGATTTAAAGTAATTACATGTACTTTTTAATTTATATGTATGCTTACACAAACACCTTTAGAACCAGGTCATTAAGGACAAACACCAAAAAGCACACTGAAGTATCAATGATAAAATCTAGGTGGTGGGTATACATAGCTATTCACTTTAAAGTTCTTTCACTCTTATTAATGTTTGAAAATTTTTGTAATAAACTGTTGAAAATTTTAAAACAGCCATATTTAAAAAACAGCAACAAAAAATTCAAAATGAAACTTTAATATTATAATTTATCTTATATTTAAAAATTCACACATGGTTATCAAGAGAAGAATTTTCCCAACAATTAAAAAAACAGCATATGAGAACTGCCAGTTAAATCCCTGTATTTTGCTCTATTGAATTTAATAAATTCAGTTCTCATTTTGTTTTAATAGCATACAAATTCAAATGAGGCAACACATGGCAAAAAATTATAGCTAAATAGAGCGATGTTTTGTGTCTATCTATAGTAATCCCATAGTACTATCAGTAACCAGCCACTGGTACTTGGGGAAGGAATTTAAGATTTCATGCCTGATAACTCCTCTATATAGTAAGAGAGTAATACTAAACCCTAAGATGCCTCTTAAACTGCTAAAGTACTAACACTAGGATTCAAAAAAACCATTTTACAGCTTCTCAGATAAATGCTCAAATATTACCTACTGTTTTGAAAAATGTATTTTTTTCTATTATGTGGTGACATATACTAATTATTTTCAAATATCTGAATTTTATAAGTCTGTCTGAATAAAAAAGGCCACCTCTCTGCATTCTTTTAGAGGTGAATGAAGAATCGTTTTCCTTAGCTGAATATTATGAATTGCACTGAGCAATTTAAAAGTTAACTGTATTTAACAGAAATTTTTCTGAAATGCACACTTTTCTGCCCTCTTAAGTAAGGACAATGAGTAACCCTTTATCACGACGTCCTGCCACCATCATTACGCTGTGTGCCAAAACCACTGACTTACATAGGATGTTCTCCCCAGCAATAAGGGGGTCACACGGGTAGCTGTGCCTTATGAATTCCTGGGCTTGCTTTCACCACCTCACCTAGCTTGGTATCAACTCTGACTTCCTGCTGCTGTCAAGATGCCCCGCCAGAGTGAGCATTCTACCCCCTCCACGGACATACACTGTTCCTAATTTGCTAACAACCAACACCCAACTTGTCAGAAATCTGTTTAAGCATCTCCCTGTCATAAGATTTAAATGAGATCATATATATAAAATGGTTAACAATGCCTAACACAGAGTAAATACTCAGTAAATGTTATCTTATTATTTTTTAGGAAAATATTTGTTGCTTTCTTTAAAGAAATTTCAAAGCCTTTAGTGAGCTTGCTTCCTGAGTATCACCCATGTTCATTATCTAACTTAATTAAAACTTAAGTCTCTCCCAAGTTTGTTATAAGGCTGGTTATCATTCATTCTAGTTTCTGCATTCATAACTACATTTGGTCATTTTAGACTATTCTATAAGAGAAGGAGAAAAGCATTCTAAGTAATATTCTTTAATAATATTCCTCAAAGATCACTGGATCTGTCCAGTACCGTTTAGGCTGGTGCCTCTCAATATTTTACCCTTACCTCATGCCACTTACAGAAAATGATGTATTTGTAGAAGACTTGGGATTAATTGGTGATGCTGCTCAAGGCCAGAGTGAACAGGCCCAAGGACCCGGATTATGGCCAGAGCCTCATCGGCCTCCCCAAAGGGATGAGGGCCTCAGCTCACAGGTGAACTTTCTGTGGAGTTTGGAAAGCTGTAATTTATACATTTGCTAGACAATGCTTTAGAATGTTTAGTCTACATAATTTAGTTCATAAATCATTTAGCTCATAAATTGTATACATTCATACACTCCAGGTTCACAGAATTAGAATGTTATTTCCCTACATTAGAGACTGCTGAGAACAGCCAGGTTAATGATAACCATCATCACGAAAGCCAAAGTAAGCAAATGTTCATTTCAGACACTGCTATCATTATGATATTTTTAATGAATTTTTTTTCACTTTTGGAAGGAGTCAAAGAATGTCACTTAGCCCCAAGTTCCAAAAAGCTTTTGAATCTCAAAGATAACCTAAATTCTCTAGTAGAAAAATACCCTGCATTAGCACATTTAAGAGAAAACTTTAAAAGGAATCACCTTTCCTTCATAACCCCCTTTCAAATTATGTAACTTAACATGTCTTTCAATATGACTTCCTCTATTTTCTTTTACAACTATAAAGTCAGATTCCTTTTTCCAAAAAGTTTTCTCTTAACCACCATTAATTTTTTAAATGAGTAATAACGGAATCTTGCATGACTGGTGTATATACAAAAACCACTTTCATTTAAAACTTTTTCCAAGAAACCATCAACAAACCTGGATTTACCATACATATTGTATCAAATGTTTGCACATCACTGTTCCAATGTAAAGTCAAATGCTAGTAATACAGATTGACCAACACTGTGAAATGCTATTTTTAAAAATAAAATTAATAACAGACCTGAGGAATCATTGGTTCACTTCCATTAACACTGTCGGGAGACTTTGTGGCTTGGATAGATATATTCTAAAAAGAAAGAAACATTGTAAAGAAAAGGAACAAAAAACCTAAAGTTTTAAAACTGTTAAGAACAAAGGCCAAGTACCAAGACCTATTAGATACATTTATCAAACAAAATTAGTAGTTGTTCATTTATTAGAATGTCTTCATGCAAGGCAAAACTAGTATGGTAAGTATTTTTGAAAATTCATTTTGCTGTAATATATGCAACTAAATAGCAAAGATTAGTATGTAGCAAAATTTATTTCAAGCTAATCACATACCTTTCCCATTATAATGTCCCCAGTTTTTTCCCCACAGCAAAATTAACTTAAAGGTTTCAATTAGCAAAACTCATTCAAATAGAAATCTATCCAGAAAAAGAAGTAATATCAATAGTTCCCTACAATAAAAGAATATTCAAATTAAAGTTATTTGGGCTAAGCTTTGAAAAATATCTTGCTAACAAGAAATACAAGTGCCTCATTCATTTGAAGCCAGTAATATAAATGACACTGTTATGACAACTTTCAGAAAACCTTATACTTAAAAATAATTTTATTCCACATGTGAAGGTTTTCTATTTTGTCCTGTTGGTAAGACAAACACTCCAAATTAAGCAACATTCTGCTGATTACATCATGCTGGAATAGGTTCCATGGTAATGGATGAGATTCTTTGAGATTCAAAATTCTATACTACATTCATATTACACTAAGTATGTAAATGAAATTAGAGCTTTTTGAAATAGCTCATGATAAAAAAAAAACCTCTATTTTTTAAACAAAAGCATTTGACCAAATACTAGTCACTATGTTTCAGTAACTTGGTCTTTAAATAGCACATTTCCCCCACAATTCTACAACTGACCGAGAAAAGGTCAAATATCTGACCTTACTTATTCTAAAATATAAGTGAAGGCACTCAGCTTTGCAAAAGTGTTTTCAAATTCTTGAGCTCTCATTAGGTACTTGATACTAAGAAATTAATTTTTAGGTACGATAAATGTATTGTGGTTATACATTTTTAGTCTATCTTTTAGAAATACATACCAAAATATTTAGATACAATAATATTTCTGAAATTTGCTTCAAATAATCCAGCAGGAATGGGGATGGAGTGGGGGTAAGCTGCATGTATGGGGAGGGTGGTAGTGGTATGGTTAGGAAAGTGGGGGAGGGATCCTAATAAGATGGACATGAGTTCATTGTTGACACTGGAAATGGATACTGTAGGAGGGGGAAGAATTACTATTACTACTACCACTATTACTACTACTATTTCCACTTTTGTAATATGTTTAAATTTTTTCCTAATAAAAATTTAAATACTTTCTCTCTCTAATATAAAAAAAGTTATCAAATTGTATCAGTCCAAGGATACAGCAATTTTTAGAATTACAGGTAAAGATATGCATTTTTCAAAAAAAACTAAATTAAGGAAAAGTCAGCATCTGGTAAACTAATGTAGTGAATTAGGCCCTCACTAAATTTTTATTCTACTATAGGTTATGCTATGGTTCCCCTTTGTTATGTGGGGGAAAATAAGTTTTTATATGCACAAAACTCAATTTAAATAATATTATAAAGACTTTTAGTCTACTTAAATTACTTTAAAAGCCTTCATTTAAAATTAGCATTTTTTTCACAATAGGGTAGAGCTCAATACAGATTACTTTTATGTACTTATGGAAGCTCTTTTTTAAAAAAAAATCTCTATTATTACTACATGAAGTGTAAAGCAGTGTCATTTTCTTTTTAAATAAGTTGGTAAGTTATCTTTAACTGGGATTCCTGTGTCCCTCTCAAACCAGTTTTGAAAATAGTGAGGGGTTAATTGCAGCCAGAACCAAGGAGAGGCCTCTTTCCCTGAGATCCAAGCCAAGCATCACCAGAACTCTGAGCTGCTTTCTTTTCTAAAACCAAGGTTAGAATGTAGTTTAAGACTGCTAGTGGCTATATACAGACCAAGTCTTTACTGACTGTGGGGATTACATACAGAAATGTTCTAATTTCATCACCAGCTACTTAATAAATTAAACCCAATTCTCATTGTTTTAAAAAAAACACCTCAATCCCAATTCAGTGTTCAATTTAACATCAGAAGCTATCGTTTCTGAGCAAACACCTCTAAATTTTAATTTGCTAAATTAAGAACTTAGATACTTTAGGGAAAAAGTCCACTTTCCCAAAATTATATACAAGATTCAAAATTGTATGAATTCAGTCAGCTGAAAAATAATGAGATAATTATTTCAGATATTTAATAGACAGAAAACTGGTACTCTCCCAAAATGAGGCGCAATTATTTGTTACAGTAAAATCAACCTACCTACTCCATGTCATTTAATTACAGATTTACACAAAATACATTTTTTTCCCTAAAAATGTGAGTCCCATATCAAAATATTCTTGGCCTCCTACTAAACAGAATTTTCTAATAATGCATACCTTTTTTAGTCAATAAGCAAACATTCCCTAGGAAGAAAGTTTAGGCCAAGTGAAGGTAGTCTTCACTACATTAATGAAAAGTGTTATTATGCAGTTAAAAAGCTACCAAAAAACACACCAGCCATCAGAATTCAGCAATTTACTCTCTAATTTTTTAGAGCAGGGTTAGCAACAGGGCACTGAAGATGCTTTGAGAGATGGTAAGTGACAAGCAACATGAGATTTGCTTCTAGAATTACCAAATTACTTTGCTTCCCCACAAAGGGAATGCAGAAAGCGGTGGAAGGACTCACCACACTGTCAGTCTGTGTTTTAGGCTGTTTGGAGGAATCCAAAGCAAAGATAGTATACTCAGAGAGAAAAGCAGGCTCTGCTATCATCCCGGCTAGTAGCTGTCTCATTCAGTGTAACAAGCAGACGTATAAAAATAAAACAAATGATGGAAAACAAATCATAAGGGCATGTTGCAAAGTGTTCTCACCACACAGCATGCACAACACTATATAATGGCCTTGCACCGCCACTGCTGCCACCATCATTCCACCCCCAAAATAATAAGTTGCTGGGAAAGGTCAGGAATGGAGATGAGTTGAATTGTTTAGGATCTCAAAGCTCAACTTTAACCAACTTGCTTATTGGCATATAAATAATATATGGAACAGGCACCACAGCACAAAACGTGCCTGACAGTTTGGTATAAGAGTCTATACCAATAGGAACAATACACAATAAAGAACACAAAGCTTTAGCATAAAATAAATACTGAGCCATTCATTTTTATACATTTAAAAAGATAGCATGGAAATTTATGAGAGGCTAAGACATATAAAACTTTATTGATTTTTCTTTTTAGAGAGAGGAAGGGGGGAGAGAGACAGACAGGCAGAGACACTGATTTGTTGTTCCACCCCTCCATGCATTCATTGGTTAATTCTTGTATGTACCCCAGACTGGGGATGGAACCCACAACCTTGGTGTACTGAGACAACGCTCTAACCAACTTACCTACCCAGCCAGGGCTTGAAGAAAACTATTTTTGTATAGAAGTACAAATAAATGATTATTTAAAGTTTTGTATGTCAACCAATGAATGCATAAACAAGTGAAACAAATTGACGTCTCTCTCTCTCCCCCTTCCTCTCTCTACCCCTCTCCCTCTCTCCCTCTCTAAAATCAAAAAAGTATTCTCCAATATGTATAGAAGAAACTTTTGAAACTGAAATTTATAAGTTTTAAGGATAAATTCTATTATACTAGTTCTTTTGATTCTCTTCTGTGCTTCACTTTTCTTTCAGAAACTACACTACACACGAAAATACTAACAATCATAAATTAAATGTATAAGAGATTATAATGAAAATAAACTTCTTGATGGTGGAGGTTATACAAATATACCCTTGATCAAACTGCACAGAACTACAAACACACACAATGATACATATAAAGCTAGTGAAATCTGAATAAGCTCTGTGGATGTTACACAATATACCAATGTCAACTTCCTTGTTTTCACAGTGTACCATAATTTTACAAGGTGTTACCTTAGGGAGAAACTGGGTAAAGGGTACACAGGGTCTACCTAAAAAAATTTTTGTAACCTCCTATGAATCCATGATTACTTCAAAATACATTTAGCCCTGCCGGGCGTGGCTCAGGGGTTGAGCATCGACCTAGGATCCAGGCGATCAGAATTTGATTCCGGGTCAGGGCACATGCCCAGGTTGCGGGCTTGATCCCCAGTCGGGGGGGCGTGCTCAATGACTCTCTCATCATTGATGTTTCTATCTCTCTCTCTCCCTCTCCCTCTCCTTTCCTCTCTCTGAAATCAAAAAAGAGATATATATTTTTTAAATACATTTAAAAAAATCTTTTGAAACATTAATTTAGCAGCCAATGTATGTTATATTATATGTGATATATAATAAATAACTTATATCAGAAAATAAGTATCTGCAGCGGGGTGGGGGG